CTAATCTGGGAATTGTCGTTCATTTACGTGATGAATTATAAATATCCTTTAGTTAATATGCAGATAGCGAGAAATAAAGAATATCTTGTAACTGCCTTAGTTTGAATGCCTATTCAGAGAAAAAAATAGAATTCCGGGTTAAGGTGCGTCTGATCTTTTGGGTTGCGACGGACTGACTGGTTCTTTCTCTTTGTGGTTTTGATTATCGGATCTCTCTGTGCGAGTAGAGTTTTGTTCTGTTTCAACATTGAAATATTTCAGAGAGAGATGTATTCAGAGAATATTGAATATAAGGCTTTGGTATCAACTATCAGTAATAATATCGGACGACTCAATCAGTATGGTTCGTCTTTTTTTTTTCATTTTATATGATTTGATTGATATATTTTTAACTACGACGTCTGTAATTTTGCAGTCTGTAACAGATATTTTTTGTTTTGATTATTGGATAGGTTTCATATATTGCATCTGATCAAGGTTACTATTGAAATATTACCAAATTACAAGAACTGTTTATTGTTGTGATGTGTGATCCGTCATTTCCAGTGCAACAGTTGGAAATACTAGATCGAAAGATTGGTGGTACCAAGTATGACGAACGTTTACATGATCAGCTGGCAGAAGTGACTTCGTCAGCTAACATATTGAGCAAAGAAACTAATATATTGATGAAAAGCTTTTTAGAATTGTCAAATAACCAAGTATGGGTTAAAAACTATAACTAAAAACTATAAAAATCATGCAAAAACTACATAGTATTTATTTTTTGGTACATTGTTTTAGTTACATAACACTTACTATCATTTAGAAATATGCATCATCAATGGAGCCGCATCGTGAACGACTTACAAATGACTTGATCGCTGTTTTGAATCGGTTACAACTGTCGCAGCGGAGTGCAGCTGCAAAAGAAAAGGAGTCAATGAAAGCAGTAGCTGCTCAGGATCAGCAAGTTAGCCATCAGGTGATTCACAGTGTCATACGGTAGAAATGATTTGAAATTGATTGTCTACATTTTCCATCTGTTCTTGATAATAATTACCATTTTTTAGTCTAGAGTGCAGATGTTTGTTTTTTATAAGCAAACATTTGCATTTTATAATTAAGTTAAAATAATTGAAGTTTTAGTTGATGTAATTAGGGTACAGGAATTTCATTTCGAAAATATGCTTAAATACATTTTTATAGAACCTCTTAATTTAAGATGGAACAAGCAAATGACGATGAGGAACAAGAGCGACAATTGCAAATTCAACATCAACAACATCTTACTGAAATTAGAGAACGAAGTGAAGTGAGTTTCATCTATGGAAATCTTTCGTGTCTCGGATAGCTAATAAAATATAATATCTGCATAGCAAGTTCTGAGTGATAAGTTATTTTTATGTATATATATTGTCACCCAATATTTTCAGTCCAGCCATTGTTCCTTTTTAGAATGAATCTCGTTTTGCCATAGATACTAAATAAAAATTTGTCGATCGAGTTTAATTTAGGAATAAAACCGACGAAACTTTGCTCATTAGTGACTATGAAATCTCGTATAATCTGAAACATTCACGTGCTAAATTATTAAGAACAAAAAAACTTTGTGTTGCAGCAAACTGAACATTTCAGATTGAGTTTTCATTTGAAGCTTGGTAGTTGATAACCTAGACTACACTGCAGTTTTTTGGAAAAATGAGCGTATTAGAGGAATTATTTGAAATTGCAAATAGATTTACATAATTGCAACTAATTTCTCATTCTATAGGCAATGAGAAAGCTTGATCACGATATCAGTGATATAACACAGATAATGAAAGACCTGGCGAGAATTGTTCATGATCAAGGTGAAATTGTAGATAGCATTGAAGCAAATGTAGAACATGCCTCTATACAAGTACAACAGGTATCGCATGTGTGTTGTTTAAAGTATGAGTATGACAACTTTGGTTTTCCGACAATATGAATTTAAAAAAAAATCCTTTTATTGATGGATTACAACGAAATGTGTTTAATTCCTTCTTTCTGCGAATACAGTTCTCGTTGCTTTAGGGAGCTACAGCAGTTCGACAAGCAGTTGTATATCAACAAAAGGCTCGTCAAAAGAAGTTGATCCTGTTTATATTTTTATTTACTCTCTTTCTCATACTTGTTCTTGTTATATATTTTTTCACTACTTGAGTTAAATGTTATCTATCTTCGTTTACGACCTGATTTTATAATTTATTGTATATTTCCTTTGGAATGGATTTGAGCTGTACACGGGCTTTGTTGAACACGGAGACAGAATCAGCAGCTAGAATGCAAAAGATGACAGAAGTGCTAACTCATTTTAAGCACTAACCATATAGTAATTACGAGCACCGTTACCTTTACAATTAGTTTTGAGAAATAATCTGCCCAATTCTAGCCATTAGATTTTTCCAAAAAAGGTAACTCTCTTTGCTTCATTTTCATTACTTTAGATTAAACATTTGGTCTACTGAATACCATTTTCGCTGCATACTTCCAACTCTATATTGTATCTCGAACAATTAATGGATGAAGTGTTGTTTCATGTCATTGATAATGCTTAGTTACATGTCTGCTGATTATTTTTTATTCATTATAACGAATTTCCAATAAGAGAATGATAAAAAACAAGATACTGTAAACATTTATCATACATGAGTAGCCTCTTATTTTGTTTATATTACATAGTTCCAAATATTGTAACAACATTAACAACAGTGGTAGAACGAACTCAACGAATAACAACAGTAGTAACAACAAAAATAGAAAGCACTGCGGTCACTGAGATTCCCGTCAGCTAACAAGTGAGAAATCACAATAAATGACGACAAAATATACCCTTGACACTTCCACTTAAACTGCTAAAAGTAATGCTGCGTACTTTTGAAACGATATTTCTTTCTACTTGATGTCGTAGAGATGCAGATTTTGGAAAAAAAAGTGAGATCTCGAACAATTCTATATGAAATGTAATTCGCAAATAAATTGGAACGTGACCGGGAAAGAGGGATGGATCATTAATAGCGGTGATGGGCACACTGACAAATCCTGCGAGTAAAATTTGAAAAAACCTAAGTATAAAAAAATACCCGATGAATCGCAAAATGAGTAAATAAGCTAGGAAAGCTAAGAAAATCAAGAATGAAACTCTTTTTTACATTTTAAAACTACTGCGAAAATTAGACTTATGAATTTAAGTCAAGAATTCTTTCGACAGACATAACTCTCCACATATTTCACGGGCTAGCTTACATGCAAAAAAGAGTTATCTTTAAATTATGTGATGATAAGAGCTAAAAAGACACTTTTGAAGAAGTTTCTACGCCAATTCTAAAAAATTGTAAAACCAACTAAAAATAATGCAAAAGAGTATAAAGATGAGTTAAGCGAATTTCGGTGTATGGGTGACACATGCCTCCCATATTTTTTTTTCCATCTCTTCATCAAGGATACTTGGTATCTTTTTTGTTAGCACTAAAAGTGGTGCGAATGAGCTGAATAACATATCCATTAGTAAATCCAGTGATCCATCTACCGTACCCATCTCATCACATCTAAGTAATAATAGAAATAAGAACAAAGTAAAACAATAGGTCCTTTCATACACACTCACCTAGTCATAAAAAATGATAGAAGACAAGTTTCTTCCTACATTTCAGAAAGACCAAAATTTTTAATACAATATGAGAATAGGAATTTAATCTTGATAAAAACACGTACTTTGTATTAGCAACTGAATTTAGTGATTTTGATAATGTGATGCACACTGCAGCTAGATCTAACGGATCACTCCTCAATTCTCTTTCTGGCGACAATCTCAATTCCCTTTTTTCACTACACCACCATCGTGCTCGTCGTTCCACACAACTTCTTAATGTTCGTGTAGCTGTTGATCGAGACTGATTTGTTCCTAAAAATAAAATGGTCTCAATTGGGTAAAAAAACGTCAGTAGAAATTATGATTGTAAAGCAAAATTATAAAAACCCCAAAATCTCTCAATACAAATACCGAATTGTTGGAGCTCATAGTATCAAACTTGTTCACCTGACAGCTTCCTATTCTTCTTTGCAGTCTTCTTACTAGATATAGTCTGAAAATATGATTATAAAGTAAATTTGTAGACCAAAAAACAGCGATCATAAAGCCTAAATCTAAAATAACGGATTTATAAAATGTATTTATCAATAGAAAGCCTATACGATATAAGAATTTTAGATGACTCATTCAAAAAAAAATAGCCTTCTGTTCATCCCCACTGACTGATGGTGATTTCCGTCGAATTTTGATAAGATCTTTCCACCTTCCTTTTTTTCCTAAATCCTAAAAAAAGTTAACAACGTGTATCTCCGCTCCTTATCCGTCTTTTATTTTTAGAACCAACAGTGGGTAGAACTAAAAAAAGGCTAAAAATTAACAGATTTGCTTCAACATTGAGGTGAATTTCAAAATTCTTATATATCATACTTTTGGTATTTCCTCGTGGCTTCTCACCCAACCATACCATTTTCGGCACTTTTTATCAACACAGCGCCATCTTAAAATGTAATGGAATAAAAAGGGGTTGAAAAATTTTTGTGAAAGAAGAGTTTGTAAAATTAAACATAAAACAATTTCAAAGTCATTTGTAATATGACACAAATCTACCACAATTTCTACTTCAGTTCAAATCAATCTTCAACTTTATTGATATTTAACTTCAATTTAAACCATTATTGCTTAGTTAATACAAAATCCTGAATGATAGTGACCAACTGTTGAAAAAAATGACCTGTGTCTACTACCACCGCACATTTGTGGACGCACTTGTCCATTGCAATGAAAACAATGTCTGCAACCGTCTTCTGATACTGAAGGTGTTCTCTCCACTTTACTGCAAAATATGCGGTTAAAAAAAAGATGAAATGAAAAATTCTGACAGCAAAAGTTTTGTAAATGCAAATGAACTGTAAGAAAGGACACTCCCAACTTTTCACTAACTTCAAATAGTTTCGATTCACATTAAAAACTTGACATAATCACTAAAAAATCTTCCTTTCAAACTGTATACAATTTTAGTATGTTTTAATCAAACTGAAGGGCAGAAAAATAAATTTGGAACTATAAGCACATCATGAATTTGGACTTGAGTCTGTAACATACTAAAATTTAGGGCGTCCATTCCTAGTTCTTCGAAATGTGGAATTTCCGGTATTTGGGTCAGATCCAGCCTGATTCAGAACGGCAAAAAAAGTTTCTGCTGACGGCATATCGAAGTTTTTGTCAGAAGTGCATTGAGAATACCTTTGAATTTGATCTGGTTCGTCTTCCTTTTTCACTGATGACTGTGGCGTTTGAGAAAATATGTTCAAGAAAGGAGTATAACATTCAGACCCATTATTTGAAAATAACGGATTATGGATGGTATCAAAAGTGCTATCATGCAGTCCAACATTCGAAGGAACATCCGCAGCTACTTCTAAACTTTCAGGATCTTCTTTCTGAAAGCTTTTGAGATTTAAAGATAATGAGGAATGCATAACAAGAGTTGAAACATATGGTGTAAAATTTAAAAAAAAAAAGAAAAGCACTTTAACATGAAATTAAGAAGGGTAACATGAAACTAAGTAGGAACTTGCCACAGAATTTGGAAGTTGCCTACTAACTTCAGAGAATACTGGTTCATGAATTCCGTTCCATTTTGAGCATTCCATATTGGAACATCTGAAAATTATACATCTCCTTAAATCACTTAATGGAGCAATTTTTTAAGAACAATTTTTCAACTGCTATAAAATAATTCACCTCCATTTAAGACCATATAATTGACATTCCCAACCACAATATAAACAAGTCATTTGTGAATTTTTTTGATCAAAACAACTAAGATCTCGATCTTCAGAATCCACAGTAAAATTATCGTCACAAACTCCCAAAATGTCGTTAAATGATAAAGATGACAAAGGATCGGATGGGCTTAAAAGCGACGAAGAACCAAAAAAATCATCTAGTCCATCAGACATACTCGAAAGTAATCTTAAAAAAATTGAAAATTTCAATATAAGTGGTATTCAAGTATAGCGAGAAATTGACAATGACCAGCAAAATAATGAAACGAAAAATCTGAATATTTAGTTTTAAAAGACTGTACAACTTTCTGCATAATTATGCAATAAATAAAAAAAGACCTCGAGCGCCCTGAGGATGAGCTACTATTATGACGTTTGTGCAATTTTTCAGATTTATAACCATTCCCTAACGATTTTGAACACTTAGCCTCACTTTTCATCAGTGGCTTTGCAATTTCATCAAAGTCTAAACCAATTCCATCCAAAAGAAAGTTGAATGCACCATCATTTAAAATTGGCAACATTGGATCCTGAAAATTTTGAACAATAAAAAGTTAGAAATGAATCCCAAATTTCGTCTTTCTTATCTTACCAAAAATACCTCATTATTACAGTGAAATTATGAGAAAAAAAGGAACTTACGTTGCCTAGATCTATATCAAATGAATGCGACAAAGAATTCGATTTTTTAGTTTCTGAGATAGGTGAGAGATTTTCATTCCGTTTCCATCTATTATTTGTTTCCACATTATTCTTAACTAAAAAAAATCTTTTAATGCCTTCCAATCCAATTATTTCAGTGAGTAGAAAAAAATCTGTGCATGACATCAATTATGTAAGAAAAACTACCTGGGGATAGAGATGGCGACAGTTTTTCATTTGACATAAATGACGCTGGAGCTGGCAAACAATTTTCTAACATGTTTTCACTGCTATCTGATAAATTAGATTTTCTACGACATCTCTTTTTGTCGCTACTCTTAGGATCTAAATGAACTGAGAATACAAGTGATCATTCATGGGTACAAAACTACAAAAGCTTACAAGGACTTGGCACTGAAATTACTAATTCAAATTTGCTTTATTTCATATGCAGTCAATCGATTTTGCTGCAAATAATAATCATAATACGAACAATAATGAATATAAAATATAATCGTAACTAAATCAAAAAACTGTGCTGAATGTAAAAAAAAAAAACCAGTAGTGTCGAATGATATGAACGCTGATTTATCAACGACAGTCGATGAGCAATTGTCGGGAGTTGTTAAATTCTTAGATTCTAACGGTAAGCCATCAACAGCTTGACGTGCTTCTATTAAAGCTTCATTGAAACCCTTAAAGAAGTTAAGTCCTTAAATTTCTGAACTACAGAATTGTAGCTTGAATCCGTAAAAATAGTTTCAAATGCAAACGAAAGAATTAAGCTGCAAATTATACAATTAATGCACACAATAATGGAAAATCCCAACATTAAAAAAAATACTTTGATCTTGCGCTGTACTTCATATTCTGAACGATATTTATTATAATCATATAAATCACTGCGCTTCATTATCGCTGTCTCACGTGTACCCAAAAATACCACTGAATATCGACCAGCTGGTACACCTTCCATTTTCTCAGATGGGTACATAACCTATAATCATATGAAAAATATAAATGGCGCTTGTGCTCAAATTCAATTTTGTAAATTAATGAAATGTGCTCAATCTTGTATACTTGAAAAATCTTTTTTTAATTACCATAGCTGGCCACGCTGGATATCCTTTCATTTTAGCCCAAACAATTGAACCATATTCAAGACAATCATCATTCATTTTGACGGACATTATTCGAAATCAAATCCGCAATTTCATTTCTACAAATTAATTAAATGACTTTTGAAATACTCACAAATCGTCAGCAACGCACCCATAATGCAATATTTGATATCTGAACCTTCACACGACTGTGGTATACATTTTACATTTACAACTAAGTAAGACACATCGTGCAAATTGCGAAAGTGAATCTTCTTGCGATTATGTTTGCGAAAAAAAAGTTGCTGACAAAACTATAAAAACAGGGACACAAAACGAAATAAAATGAAATACGCACGCACACGCACGCGAGAGAAAGATATGATAAGATAGGCTGCGTTTCGCAATCGACCTGGACCCACAATGACATCATAAGAATTACTTGACACAGTGCCAAATGGCGGTTATTTGAATGATGGAGAATTATTGATAAATAACACTTTCCTTTGGACTATAAAAGTAAGAAAAAAGTAATCACGTGCGCAACATCAAATAATTGCCCCCAAACTACGCGTGCGAATTAAATTTTAAACATAAATGAGTGATACGTTTGCATATGAAATGTCTACAATCAGTTATGAAATAAAGCACGTGCGTATAACTGCCACTTTCTTGATCAATGATCACTCTTCGCTGCACAGAGCGCATTATATTATATTATATTATATTATATTATATTATATTATACTATACTATACTATTGGCAGTATTAAATTATTCCTTTCATTTGCAGGTAAGAAAATGCGATCACTTGCATGGAATGGTGCGAATTCCATTCTTCACTCCTCTCATTTGTCGTATTAAATTCAAATCACAACACTGTTCAATCATTACAATTCTCTCACTAATCTAATATTTATTCACTTAAAAATAGTTTTAAAAGAAGACGTAATTAATGAATCATAGAGAAAAAATAGTTGATAATGAACGAATCGCATGATAACAATTACGTGTGAAAAATAAGTAAGTAAGCGGATGAGTAATTAATTAGCAGGTGATCGTTACTTTCTATTCTTGTATTAATACTTTACATTACAAAGTAATGACCAGAAATGATCGATCAATCGATTGCTAAGACTAGCATTGTTTACGCCCTCTTTGCGCACATAGCAGCATACCTTTACGTTGCTGAGGGGAAAATTAAACGTGGAATTATGCAAACAGTATGAAATTGAGCTGACAATTACAACAAGCAAACATTTAGGAAGGAAAGAACTGAATTAAGTGCTTGTGCACACAGTATGCCTCTTCAGTATACTTCTGTAAGTACTCAAACAATTTTACTCAGTCGTGTGATGCAATAGATTGTGTGTATAATCTGATGGCTGTGTTTAATTATTGATGACTTCAAGAATTAATGCTTTCAGCAGACGAGCTTCGTAAGTGACTGTATTCACAGCGTGTTCAACTTGTAATTCACTAGCCATCAAGGGACCGGCCACTGTTGTTGATATATTTCTGCCATAAACTAAAAGGAATTTCTGTAAATTTAATCGAACTAATCAACTCGAAGTCTAGATAATTGTATGAGTTTATCGATAAATAATGACGCAAAAATACCTGCTAATTGATATTCTGGCTCATACACTTTTAGTTCAGTACTTACTTTCGCACTGTTCCAAAAATTGAAGACAGTCTTGCAGTACAGAATCTCTGATACTAATTATATGTTTTGCCAAGTTTTCAATAGTTGCTATCATGCAGCGTTTACAATAAAACCATGTGTCTGTGCTTAGATTTTTATCATATGGTTCCATTGCTTTAATCACGCGCGATATTCCAAATTCATAGTTACCCTCAAGTGAATAAGTATAGTATACTGCTGACATCTTGTGAAATTTAATTATGCGTAATA